CCCCCCCCCACCCCCGCTTCCCCCTGCTTTCTTTCCCTAGCGTCCTACCAATCTGTTCTGCCAGGCTCACACTTCAGTCTCTGCATCCCTCTGGAGTGATATTGTGATGGAAATGAGGGAGAGGATGCAGGAGAGAGCTGCAAAGATTTACGGCTTTCAGAGGGCTTCCATTAAAATCCTTGACAACTGGTTATTTATGAGAGGGTTGGCTGCAATAAGAGATAGGCCAGAGCCTGGCACCACTGTCCTCTCAGGGCCAATGACAGGAACAAATACAGAGTGAGCAGTAGAACTGCCCTCACTGGACAGCAGAGCAACTTTCAACTATCAGGCATACCCTCCGGGGTCAAACAAACAGCCAAGAAATCAGAGAATATCAGTGAGCTGTACCTGGCAAACCAGAAACAGAAAATCCACATAGCAAACACTGAGGGACTTTCAGGGCCTGGTGAAAGGCTGCAGCAGCGTGTTGGAGGGTCCTCCTAGTTGTCAAAAAATGTGGACTGTTTCCCTTGCCCTGAGCGTGTGAAAAAACAAACACACAGACCAAGTCCAAAGACTGTTGTTTTCACTGTCCTTTTGTTCCTAAGGCACCCACCTGACTAAATAAATGCATAGTAAAACAACAAGGAAGCCCTCAGAAGGTTGTTTGCTCTGCAGTTGACAGACTTTTCTCAGTTTGTGGTTTTTCCTTTAAGTAGTTAATGAAACAAAGAGAGAGCCTGCTTCTGCTCCCTGAACCAAGGTCGCTCCCGGGAAGCCCTTACTTCTTGGGCAAGTCAAAATAAAGTCTTAATATATGTATAAGGGATGGGATAGAGAGTGACGATGAGGCAAGGGTGCATATTGTGTGTATTTCAGATTTTTTTTTTCTTTTCAGTCTGCAATGTGTGAAAGAATGTTGTAGAAGTGTGCACAATCACAGAATCAGGATTCTTTTTCAATCTGAAGAGTTCCTAGAGGTCCCCCCTGGCATTTGTCTTGTTACCAAGGGAGGGAATCCAGGCCCAGGGAATTGAGATGGTTTGCCCAAGGCCTTGTAGTAGGTTCAGAGACCTGGCTCCTCCTT